CATCTTGGATTGATTTTATATGGGTGCTTTTCTACAAAATGGACAAAATACCAAATCTACTCCCATTATCAAGGATACAAGGGAGAAATGAGGCACAAACAAGGGAAAGAATATTTTACTAGGAACAATATATGTGATTTTTTTGATGGCTCATCCACAAAGTGACTATAGATCCCCCTGGGTTGTTTGTTTGTTGTTGTTAAAATGTAAACATTCAAACAAACAACATGTTTATAAAAACTTATGAACAAGTCAATTCTACAAATTGCAGCAAGAAGTTTTAATTATGTTCTTACGAAACATAAACAATGTCATGTAAACGGAATGCATTGTTTTCATAAACCATTATATTACACTAAAAAGTATAAAAATGGATATAAAAATGTCTAATTGAATAAAAATAATGTAAAACAAATGTTAAAATAAGTGTCTAAATATATAAAATGTTCTATAAAATGCAGCTGTCACCCTTGTTTGGACTGTGTGTCAGTCATTCAGTGGTGTTGGTGCGATCAGTTGGATTACTCGTGTGTGAGGGAGGAGGAATTTTATCCACCACCAGGAGCAATGGTGGAGCCAGGGCGTGGCCAATGGTGGCATTGGTCACCATAGATTAAGCTTTGGCAAAGTAGACATGAATATATCCAGACCACAATGCATAGCAAAAATACTAACTGAGTATGTACATTAGTAACTGTAAAAATATGAAGATAAATCAGTTTCAAAAGTAGCCATGTAAGCATGAGCAACATGAGCACATGGATTAGCTTGTGAGAAGAAACTGTCCAGGTGACCTGACTGAACATTGTTGGATTTGCACCTGGATTATTGAGCATGGCCTTTGGTGACTTGAGACTTTCTTGTCACTCCAGATTCACAAAGGTAATGTTGCGTTCAAGGTTGGTAAAAAGCTGGGACATTGGAGCTTTACCAGCTAGGCAGTTATTGGGAAAATACTAATTTCTGATTCGTCCTAAGCAGATTTGTGAACATGTATTTGACAATTTGATGCGTAGAATATTCCTACTTGTGCAAAATGAAATGTGCACATTTGGAAAACTGTTGCAGTGTTTCCCTTACAATTATAAAAGCAGGGTGCCCCACCCTGTCAATAGAACTGAACACCCCCCACCCACCCCGTCGACAACTGCCGGCACTGGCGTAGTGGTAAGCTAGCGGCGTGCAATACAGACATGCTAGTGCTACGCCGCACAGACAATACCATGTCTGTGAGGCGCTGAGCCGTCTTTACCCCCACGCTCAAAAACTGTCGGTACAAACGTGTCTCGTTGATGGTGACATGTCTCCATCTATAATGTGCCGCACCACCTGACAAAAATCAAGGAAGATAGAGTATGAGAGCTAAGGGTGGATGAGTGGTTAGAGCAGTCGCCCTCCAATGCAAGAGTTGGGGGTTTGATTCCAGCAGCAGTCGCATGCCGAAGTGTCCCTAGGCAAGACACTGAACCCCTCATTGCCTCAGATGTGTCCCATCAGTGTATGAATGTGATAAAGCTTTGATTATTCTTTTACAGATCTAGTAGAGTGCTGTATGAATGGGTAGATGAGGACAGATTGTAGAGTAAAGCGCTTCGAGTATCTTGACAAGATAGAAAGGTGTTATACAAGTACAATCCATTTACCACTAAAGGTAAGTAAACTAGGGGAAACACTGTTATGCATTTGTAAAACTTGTGGTATGCATTTAGAACTTATTGTATGCATCCAAATCTCTTACACCTGCGTGCCTTCTTTGTATTAAAAGGTCAACAAATCTCCATGACAATAAGTTACAAAGTCATGTTCTACAGTGAACGCTGCTGTTAAAGCTAACAAAACACAAAAATGGATTGATAAGGTGTTCTTAGCCATCTTTGAGCCTGCATATTAAAAAAATAATTTAATCCATACCTGATCCAATACTTTGATGCTGGGTCAAGACACTCCTACTGAATCTGAACAAAATAATCTACACATTTTACATACATCCTACGTAATATTTGTGGATTCTTTTCTAGGGATGAACCAATAATTATGGCAAGTAATCAAGCTTTACTGGTGATCAGGACTCAAACCCTCCCAGTTTTTCTCTGGTCCATACCAAATCCTCCATTTCATGTTAGCTATAACATGTCTTAGGTGTGAAAGATTTAAAAGGTAGGTGTTTCTAAAATCTGTAAGTGTTTGAAAATAAAGTCAAAAGATACAAAAGAGATGTACAAAGCTACTTAAGAGAAACATGGATTTTCTACATTTGCATGTCTGCTGCTCATTAGATTACGGTTTGTCTTGGTAGTGACAGCTGCAGCGAAAACAAGTACAGTAATACATTTCTCTTCGGTTTACTTTGTGAGACCTATAATTTGCAGGCAGGGGACAAACGGAACGAAAGCTGTAATTTGTCCTACGAGTTACAATAAAACGAATAAACCTTTTGACAACTTAACAGCTATTTTCCCCAAAATAACATTTGGAACACTGCTGTTATTTATTTTTCCCAGTAATTTAGTGCAATTTTTGTTTTGAGTCCTGTGCAACGAGCTGAAAAAGATAAAGAGATTATGATATGGTTAATAAAATAAATACAACTAGCTCTGTGCAGTAAGTCGCAGGACTTGTTTTAAATATTTCAAGCGACAAAATAAAAGCAGCCCTTGTAATTTGGAGTAAATGTAATATTTTTTTTCCCTTATTTAAATAATAAATTCTGTCAATGACAGTTTTTTAGGAAAAATTTGGAATTAACCAAATTGAAACTGGCAACTTGGATGTTTTCCGAAACAACCAGGAAAATTGGTGCATTTCTCAACTTGAATAATATTTTAAACAGCGTTGAAAACTGACTAAACTAACATGGACAATACCCGAGATCAAACATCCTTCCATACGTTGTGACGCTGAACAAACAGAGGTCGCTGTGAGGCAGAACATTACCTGGAAGCTTTCTAGAGAGAACACGTTCAGACTCGACATGGTTGGAAGAGAAAGGGTAAATGGTAAACGGACTGTACTTATATAGCACCTTTCCATCTTATACAGATACTCAAAAAAAAAAGGAGCAAGAGAAAGGACGCAAAGCAACAAAAAGAGGAGCAGATAGACGATGAGAACATCTGGAGTGAAACCTATAGATGAAGAATTAAACAAAACTGAGTTGGCAAAACTGAGCAGCAAAAATCAAATGTGACGCCTTGATATCTAGAGCTCTGCCCCTACATGGAGGAAGGAGGCGGATGCTTTATAAGGACACGGTAATCCTCAAATGCAGACTTTAATCAGGCTAGAGATTACACAGGAATGCACCGACATGTCCGTAACAGAACAGTGCGGGGGGAAAAAAAGAAAAAGTAACTCAATTTGTAAAAGGTCATGAGAAGAGGACTTTTAGCTACAAGTGTTTGTATGAAGAAATTTCTTAAAGATGTAAACACGATGTAATTCAGTAACTAAAATCCGGACCCAGCTAAGGATAAAGTAAAGCCTTTACATAAGCGTCACATCTGGTTTAGTTTAACAGCTGGTGGCAGGGTGAGAAGCAAGCTGGCAGTCTGAGGGCAGTGGGGCGCCAGAAGAGTCCGGCACGGAGCTTGGCATCTGAGCAACATGGTCGAAAGGTTAGAAGAAGCTCTCCGAGCACATCTGTGCTTCCAGCGAGGAAAGGGCGGTTACTGACAACTCACTAATGACCCGTAAGCTAAACACAGTTGAGCACAGACAATGACGCACAACATTAATCTGAGCAAACGGGAGCTTTCCAGCACTAAAATCACAGTCTTACAGACACAATTACTGCCATTGTTTAATTTAGTTATGAACGCGCCGAGAGGGAATCTGGCAGGAGCGTCTTTTGGATGCTTTCCTTTTTGTTGGGAAAGGCGCATAAAGCCTTGGCGATAACATTCTGGTATTATGTAAAGTCAAAATAAGAGCACCTCTTTATACGTCCTGCGTTCTCGTCTCTGTCTGTGCCAACATGAAAAGTAATCAGGCACAAGCATTTATTAAACTTCTGTGTTTCCCCTGCCATTATACAAGCAGGGCGCCACACTCTGTAAACAGAACCATTGCCTACCGAACCAACAACCCCCACCCCACCACCACCACCACTCGTCGACAACTGCCAGCACTGACGTAGCGCTAAGCTAGCAGCGTGCAATACAAACACGCTAGCTAAAAAAAAACTATAGAGGTAGCCCTCCATTTCCCTCACGCTGACCCGTCTCTCAACCCCATTTGAAAACTATCGCAAAACACAGACGTTTCTCTGTGTTCGCAAAAATCATGGAAGAGATGAGCGCCCTGCCAAGACAAGTAATGTAAGGAAAACACTGAACTTATATGTGAGAAAATAAAATAAAGCTCTTTGAATTTTAAGAGGATTTCTGGAAGTAACAACCCCAGCAGAGGGAGTTCATCTCAGTTCAGCGCCGGAGTTAAGGTAAGAAAAACATTAGTATTCCTTTTAACGGGAAAAGCACATCACCTACAACTTTGGTTGCCAAATATTTTAACAAAGTTCTTGTGTGATGTATTAGCAATGTGACGACAACGACTCTCAGTTACTACCACAGCAAGTGTCAGCTCAATATCTGTAAAACTGTTTTCGTCACAACCATTTTTGAGTTTGCTAACGCTGATTAGCCGTGGAAGCCAACTTAAATCAGGTCGACTCCAAATGGTAATCACTTGTATATGTCCATCCAATGATTACTTTGAGTTTCATTAATATCCGTCCCATGGGTCATGAGATATTTTGCTAACAGACACAGGCTAGCATAGGCCAAGAAGAGGTGCGTTGCTTTATGTATTGCAATCTATACGATTGTATGACAATCACGGCAGAATCTACAAAATATTAACCAAGTAATGTGAAGCATACTAATCCTCTGAAATTCTTTAATCAAGTTAAAACCTAATTGGTAGATATTAACATCCTGTGGAGCATCACACCTGATGTCTTTACACATCTGTGCTCAGGGGGAGGAAAAGCAGATTCTTACCGGTCGTCTCGATGAAACGGATGCATTTCTCTATGAAGACTGGGATCACCCTCTCAGGAGTGACCACTGCAGAGAGCGGCATGCCAAAGTAGTTGCTTTCAGGTGGTTTAGAGCTGGAATGCCTGGGTTTGGATCGCGTTTGTTTCTGACAGAAAAATAAAAAAATATATAATTGGAGACAAACAAACTCTTTTGAAATACAAACTTGGTGTGGGGACATCTTTTATCAAAACGATTAACTGTAAGAAACGGTGAAAATCACAACCTTATTTAATAGTTACCATTTTTATGTTTCTTGAAAAAAAAAAGAAAAAGGCAGGCATGTGTGCTACCATTCCACACGCACCTTCGAATCTTAAACCGATAACAAATCAAACATTCTTATCTAGAACCCTGTTCTGTCCAATCGAGAGATACACATCGATTATTCACCACTCTCATCACTTCATGTTCATCCTTCTTTCTCGGACATTTCGTGTTCCTCTTCGTCTCTACAGCCCTGCAGCTTTTAAATCATTAAACTCTTACTCCCTGTTTAATTACTTTACACCTCGTTTTGATTTCCCGTTAAGAGACCCAACAAGCTGCTGCAACCCTCGCTGCCCGTCTCTTCCTGCGGCGGAGGCTCCAGCAGTGATTGTACGGGAGCGTTAATGCCGATCAGTGGGAATATTTTGAAGGCCCCTGAGGCCTGGCTCTCTAGTAAGTCTGTCAGCACCCCCAAAGTGCTGTCCTGGCAGGGATGCATGGTGGGCTGGACACATGGACCGTTGGTGCAGTGCGGTCCTGACAGACAGACTACAGGAATAGAGCAAAGGAGTGCTCATTAGAGAGCAGAAGCACTAGTGATCCCCATAGTGCACTTCAGACATTTATGATAGCGCTCATGGCACATATACTCAAAGCACACAACTGATTAATTTACACGAAAATATGTTTGCATAACATAAACATTAGGTTTAGGAGAGTCAAATAAATTCTAAAATATTTCTAATTAACATCTGTGGGTTGGGTCAACTACTTTTTTAGGTTGGGGTGAGGGGTTTATATTTTTTTATATTCACTAGCAGACAGATGATTTTGAATTTTTACATTAATCTGTGCTGGTACTTTAACAGAGTCAGCTGAGTATTTGCTGCGTGGTTACATCTGTCCTAGTAGAGCTGCCGTAGCCGCTTTAGTTGTAACGTTGCTGAGTGTTTTCATAACTATTATTCACTGATAAGCAAAGAAAATTAAAATTCCTTCATCAAATAATTTTGCAAAATGGCTGCAAAGACCATTTTGTCTTTATGTTGCTTCTGGCCATTCTAAAATCATTAGTGGAGTTTTGAGGAACAAAGTGAGAATCACAAAACCAAAAAGGATATGGTGCAGAACCCAACTGTGTTGACGTGGAGCGCAACGCAATTAATGTCTGATGTCTCCCTCGAATCATTTACAAATAAGATTAATTAACCCGGTTTCGCGATCGTCTTTTTTGTAGTAAATTAATTTTTTTAAACTAAATGCGAAGAGCGCCATCATCGATCGTCCCTCTGTAATAACATGGTGTGTTGTTTAATCTCATGACAGGGTGGTCCCACAGACTAGACGTCATCACTTCACCTCAATGTGGAGCCACAGAACTGGCTTTCCTTTTCGCACGTTGACTGTTTAGGCTCTGTTACTACCTCACTTTATGGCACTAAGGCGCATTATGGGTGGGATGGCGTCAAGCCCCCAATTCACCTTTGGAAGTCGCACAGAGGCAACCACTAGTAGTCTTAAGTCCTGGCTTGAGGTGTTTTGGAAAAAAGCCTCAAGTCTGTAAATTATAGTTTAAGTAATAACATCGCTGTCTTTAGTGATATCCTGATGCATGCTCAATAATCCAGGTAGAAAAATCTAAAAAAGTTAAATCTGGTCCTCTGGACATTCAAAAAACCCCAAAACAAAACAACAAAAAATGTAGAAACGTTTCGTCTCTCGTCCGAGAGACTTCTTCAGTCTGAGGTGCTGTTTTCAGCTCAGTCTCTTAAATAGCACCTTCTCAGAGTGGATCAACCAGTTTTGCTGCTGACAACCAAAACCAGCTGATCACATGCTCAAGAAGGACCATCAGCCTAACAATGGGTCATTAGCACACTGATGGCTGTTTACTATTCACAGAGGGCTGAGTGATACTAGCAATCACAGCATTGTAAGGGGGACAATTGAACACGTAGGCCTCCACCCCTGTTTAATGATGGACGTTTTCTTTTCATAAAGATGGCCTCCTTTACTCCTCTCTCAAACCATCGTTCCTCTCTATCCTTCTTGAGCATGTGATCAGCTGGTTTTGGTTGTCAGCAGCAAACTGGTTGATCCACTCTGAGAAGGTGCTATTTAAGAGACTGAGCTGAAAACAGCACCTCAGACTGAAGAAGTCTCTCGGAGGAGAGACGAAACGTTTCTACATTTTTTGTTGTTTTGTTTTGGGGTTTTTTGAATGTCCAGAGGACCAGATTTAACTTTTTTAGATGTCTTTAGTAATGATTTAAAAAGTTTAATTGTGTACAAATTTCAAACGATAACGCTAATTTGTTTTTCTGGTGTATTTTAATGTTAAGCTAGCATCCATGCTAGTTGTTAGTCAGCAGCCTGTGAATAATAGGTTGTTTATTTTACACATGGCATTGTGCACTCTTTATCTTATTATTTAATCATCTGCCTCTTGGTGTTTATTCCTAAACCTGACAAATCGCAAACTATTGAAATGTCAATAATCATTTTATAACGGCACTGCAACCCTCTGAATAGTAGACAACTTTAATTGTGAGGTACTAAAAATCCCCACTCCTACTTTTAGGGTTAACTCCATTTCTTCACTCATGTTAGTTCTCAATTTAAAGTGATAATTTTTATCTTTTAAAGTGACGTTTTGTGGAAAGGTTATGACCAAAATATCTCAACTGTTGTAGATCACGCTTTGAATGGTCTAATTTTGGTCAAAATAGTTGAAATCTGATGAGACTGACAACATAATGGCTAGTTTGAGTGAAACCCAGATAAACGTAATGTTATCTTAAAACAACTAAAATGTTCATGTCAGTGTTATTTTAAAAACCTGACACGCAACTTTAAAAGATGTGAGCTCTCTCTGGGTTAGCTGAAGTACCAGTAGTTTTAAATTACACATTGAGTGAACCAATATCTTATTTTTTTTATATATTGGCCTAATAAGAATCTTGTCTTACCAAGAAAAATTAGTTTGACTCACCCAATTAAAATGACTCATACTCAGCCTTATTAAAAATAAAATAAAATAAAAATCCGACCCAAAGGATTATGGTGAACAATGCCAGAAATATTAAATCATAACAAGATAATTGTTTCAGTTCAAAAAAAGCCGTTTTTGAACTTCACTCAAGTTGTGTTTTAGTCATTTAAAAAGTAGAAAAAGGGTCATTACAGGCTCTTTCTTTTTCTTCACTATGCAGCAGTCAAACAATACAGCCAAATTAAAGTCAGTGCTTTTGTCTATTAGCTCAAACATGAGCTATGATGATGGATACTAGAATTTATTTTTCGTATCACTAGTCTGATACCACGTCATTCCCATCATACACATTTAAATCTACTCATACACTTACACTTGCATCCAGTCGACGTGCGTCTGTACATGGATTACACATGTAAAGTGTGTATTTGTGTTTAAAATACTCACTTGAGTTTTTGTTTTTTTTTCAAGTAAAAAATGGTCTCATCTCTCGACTGTACTTGTAAAAAGCTTTGCTACTCTCAGTTTGCGGTGGCAGATCCTAATTTATTTCAGTCCTGTCACAGTGACTGTGTTGCATATCCGTGCCCCGTCTCGTTCTTGCAAACTGTCCCTGTACCCACACACGTCTCTCTATGGCCGTCTTCTCCCCCTGCAGTTTTACCTTCTGGCCACTCCTTTTAGTTGCCGACTGAGACAGCATGTGTTGCCAGCTCTAAGACAAAACAGACCTCCACTGTCAAAAAATAAACCAAGCTCATCCTTACACAGCTACAGTGGTGAGCGTTTACATAGACAGCGTGCAGAAGGACACTAAAACAAGACCCTTCAGGGGTTCTGACATAAAGTTAATTTCCATTTGGGTTTATTTTTCTTCCCTGCTCTCATTTCTTATACGAGGACACTAGACAAACTAGGTATCCTAGGAATTTGAAAATGTTCATTTTGCTGCCTGAGGAGGCTTCAAAACAAGCTGCAGGAGAGAAGGGAAATGTACCCGGGCTCTCACTGAGGGAGGGTGATCAGGACGGACTCACTCGGTCAACGCCTGAGGTCAAGAGGAAATTTAAAATGAAGCATACTTTTTGAGTATTTGTTTAAACTCTTAACTCAAGGTGGTAGACAGCACCTTAAGGCTCCAATAAGGGAAAACATTCCCACTACAATACATCGACTCAAACCTTCACCTTAAAATTGTGACTTGTTTTTAACCAAAAAACAGGTCATTCTATGCACGTCAGGGCTAACGGATAAGAATGTATCTCGAGATGAGAAATAAAAAGTCTTATGGGTTTTCTGGCTGCAGCAGATTAGAGGAGGACTTTTCTTTAGAGATGGATGTTTATAAAATAAGATGATGGAACACGATTCGTTACAAGCATAATAAATTCATGACAGCTTGTAAAGTGAATACTTGGATCCAAAATGTGTCGTGTGCCACGGATCAGAGAAACTAGGAAGACGACACTGGTCTACACTCTGCTGACTTTATTTTTTAAAGGGTGGTGGTTTGTAAAGTAAATTTAGAATGTGATAGTTGTGTCATCGGGCCCTTATTGTTGCCCGTTGTCAAAAGCGTTGTGTGTGTCCGTGTGTGTTTGTGAAACTGTTTATTACTGAACTCTCTCATGAAGCAGGGGACCAATTTTAAAGAAACAATCAGGAAGTAGCATTTGGATTTACAACAGTTGATTAACTTTTGGAGTCAATTTGATTCAAGATGGCCATCACAGAAATAGTTACAACTCAATCAACATACAGATAGTTAACATCTGATGTGGCAGCTGAAAGCACTATTATTAACCTTTATTTAACCAGGCAAATCCCATCGAGATCACAGATCTCTTTTGCAAGGGAGGCCTGGGCCTGAAGGCAGCCTAACATGCATGTTTTTGATCTGTGGGAGAAAACCAGAGTACCCGGAGAAAACCCACGCAAGCACGAGAAGAACATGCAAACTCCACACAGAAAGACCCCAGGTCCAACCAGGGATTTAACCCAGGACCTTCTTGCTGTGAGGCAACAGTGCTAACTAGGGGTGTAACGGTACACGTGGGTGTACCGAACCATTTCGGTACAGCATGTTCGGTCCAGTCCATGTGCGTACCATTTGTTATTTTTTTCACTCATTAAATTTCATTAACGAGAGATTATGCGCTGCAGAACTAAAATTCCTAAGCGTATTTCAGCACGGCGCTATTATCTTGCAGCACGCTAGCATTAGCAGCCTAGCGTCTCATTGCATCCTCCTGTTTGGGAACATTATGGCTTTCCTGTTAAAAGACAAGTGAACAAATCCAAAGCTGTGTGTCGACGTTGTTTCATGGAGATTGGATCTGCAGCAGGCAACACGTCTAACTTGTTAACGCTCTTGAAACGACATCATATGAACGTGAACGTCTCTTCTACAAGCAAGAAAAGCAGCTTGTTGCAAAGAGCGATAACAGCAGTAGCATTTAAACAACTTTTATCAGGTGATTCAGATCGGTCCAGAGCAATAACACAAGCTGTAGGAGTTTTTAAAGCTCTGAATCTACGTTTCTGGTGTTAATGCGCCGGCTTTAAAGTTATTGAGCCCCGCTACAACATTCCATCACGTCAACACTTCAGCCAAAACTTTGTAGCAGCACTTTATGAAAAAGCTAAAACTGATATTGTCAACAAGCTCTGAACCAGATTAAAGTCCTGCCCTGATGATGATGATGACCGAGAGGTTCAACTACCTCATAACAACCGTTCAAGAAGAGGTATTGTTATTTTATTATTATCTAATTAACCTTTTCAAATTTAAAATTATAATCTTATTAACTCTTTTTTTTTTTACCCATTTGTGTTTTATTTCCAGTCTGGGACAGAGATAGCAGCTGAGTCTTCCTCTTCAGGGAAATCCACCAGAGATCACCTCCAGCTAAGAAGTCTGTGATGATTGAACTCTGAACTTTTCCATGGACAGGTGAGAGCAGGTCCAAGAGGTTGTGAGTAATGAGGCCAAATACAGCCACACTGCAAAATTAGCAAAACTCTACCTCTTTATTCCTGCTACTGTTGCTAGTGAGCGGTTTTTCTTCCACTGATGGAGATATTCACTGCAACTAGATCTGTGATTTTGGCAGAAAATGTGGAAATATTTGTCTTTTTGACCAAAAACTTAAAACTTGACTAGTTAAGATTGTAAAAGGTCTGTTGCTGCTTATTGTTCTGGTTCTGGCTGTTATTGTACTTAATAAGATTTTCATTATTGTTAGTGTAGTTTATTTATTGTAAAGAGTGCCGTTTATTTAAAATATATCATCCAAATGAGTCGCTTTTATTTATTTTTATGCAAACGTATGGTTTACTTGGCATATTTTCAAAATAAACGTTTTGCAAGTCTTTATTTTGTCTTTTTTTGTACCGAAAATGAACCGAACCGAGCCCTCCCTGAAACTGAACCGAAATGTGATTTTAGCGTACCGTTACACCCCTAGTGCTAATCACTGAGCCAATAATTATTATTATTATTGAGCATATTGTTATTTTCAAAGTTGGACCAAAACAACTATAACTTCATTATGTCAACGTAAGATGAGCTTAGTCTAAAACTCTGGTATGAAAAGTGAAGGGCGATATGCATTCCTTCAAATGCTAGACCTTTAATTGATCCCCCTCTATGATTAGACAACAGTCTTGTAATTGAGCCATTGTTTTTAATTGACAAATGCCCTGAAGTGCTGGAGAATGTAGTCCGGGCAGTTAAATAATGTGAGTGGACAGCCTACATGCAGGTACATCCCAGCCGAGTGTGTAAAAATACATTTATCATCCACCTCCTGCTCCACCCTCCTGACAGCCGTGGCTATTATCATAGACGCACAAGCATACCACGCACAGCCATAAGTCCTGTTCAGCTGGCACTTCTGTGCCACGCCACGCGTGCGAATGAACAGTTTACCAGGCTGATAAGCAAAGGGTGAAATGTCCAAAAGTATCATCGCATCATGGGTGAGAAACAGAAAAGGGAACAGGATGCAAGAGAACAAAGAAAATGTGAAAGAGGGCAAAAAATACTTAAGGAAACAAGTGACAAAGAAAAAAGTAGGAAAATATAATAATGTGGCAGAAATGTGAGAAGCAGAAAGTATGACTCAGCAAACACCAGAAGACAAACAAAGAATCAAAGAATGAAAGGAAGGAAACAAAGAAACTCAAACTAACAGGAATTAATAATGAGTCTCAGTGGCAAAATGAAAAGCAATGGCACATTTACAACAGTGAAGGGGAATCACAATAAATAATGCAACAGTTTGGATCTTTTAACGTAGTTTTGTGAAAATACTATGAACACAGTGTCTTGCCTGTTGTAGCTCTTGGAACAACCTCAGTTTGGAGAAATAAAATTTATTGTAATTCTCACTGGAATGGTAAAAACACCTAGTCGGAGCGCAGCCAAGACCACAGTTGATTGTTGCAACTCCAATCTAAAACATTTTATATTAAGAATTGTATAATATTTATAGTGGGATAACTGTGTAATAAAAATTTAGCAACAATGTAAAAGTTTGTAAAATAGTGTTTGCTTAAATCGATGACATTTTTGAGATTATAGTTGTTTCAAGATGACAAAAATCTACTTTGCTCTACTAGCTGTTAAAATGTTGAAAATGGACCCTTCCATGAAACTCAACAGTCGTGTAAACACAATTATTAAATCCTGTTTTATTTTTTTTCAGTTGAGGCGATTATCTAAATTGAAGCCCAGATTGTCCAAAAGTAATCTTGAGACATAATACATGCTTTCATAACATCCAGGCTCAATTACTGCATTGTGCTTCTTTTTGGCATCAGACCTCTATTGCATGTCTACAACTGGTTCAAAATGCTGCAGCCCGATTTTTAACTGGTACAGGCAAAAGAGAGCACATTACACCAGTTCTGGCCTCCCTTCACTGGCTCCCAGTTCACTTTCAAATTCATTTAAAAATCCTTCTGTATGTTTTTAAATATCTGAGCAGTTCTGCCCCTTCCTATCTCGCTGATCTGCTGCAGCCATATGTCCCACAGCGCTCTCTGAAGTCAGCAGACATGATGCTTTTATTGGTTTAAGCTCATAGGTGACAGGGCTTTCTCTATTGCAGGTCCCCCTCGCTTACTGTTAATCATGTTTAAAAACTCGTTTTTATTCCCTGGCTTTAACTTTGCATTCTATAATATTAGGCATTTAGTTCTTATCTTTACCTGTTTGGAGCTATGTATTTTATCCTGTGTCCTTCGCTTGTTTTGCTTTTGCTGTACAGCACTTTCGTTGGCCTTGTTGCTGTTTTAAGTGCTATATAAATAAAGTGGTATTATATGGTATGGTATGTTAGGTGAAAATTGTGTTTGTGTTTCCTGAACCCACTGAGTCAGAGACAAACAAATAAAACAGCACAGAACATAATGTGGCTCTGTTCACATTCACTAAAAGTTTGCTGCATTCTGGTCCAGAAGTCTCCGACACTCTCCTTCCCTTCTAACGATCAGGCTAGTTTAGAGAACTCCCACTGAGCGGACAGGGAAAAAATATGGCACACTTGCTTTCACAGGAACCCCTACAGTATGTTTTTACTAGGCTCAGCCTTTGACAGCAGAGAAATGATACAGAGCTCTGCTTTTTCTTGACTTTAGTAATAAGCACGGTTATTGACCAAATCAGACAGCACTGAATCTCTGCCAAAAAACAATTATAATGAGGAAGTTCAGTCTGTATATGTGCAGTTAGGAAGACGAAGAGGTTTAAATGCTCCAGTCCTATACTGCTGTTAATGATTGGATAAAATATGATGAAAGTTTTGCTTAGTGCAAAAATAATTATCAGGGTATGGTAGTTTGAAATTTACATAATTTTTTTTTTTTGCAAACTCACATGATCAAGACTGAACTAATTTTCCTTTCAGACTGCACATATTTAATCCATATATCACACTTTCATGAACAAACACTAACCTTTGTATTTCTGCGCAGGCTCCAGAGAATATTAATTTTTTTATGATCCTCGCTCTCCTCGGTTGATTCTTTCTGAGGTCCTCCCTCGTCCTGGCCAGTCCTGGGTGGACCCCCCATCTCATCGTCACTGCCAAGTGAGAAGCTTGTCCTAAAACTGCTGAACTTCCCAAGCCGTTTGGATCTGTCCCTGTACAGCTTAGGCTTCACAGCAATAGCAGACATCTTTCGCCTTCGCTCCAGAGAGCTGCTATCGGCCTCACTGTCCGACCCGTTTCCTGCAGCACTTCCATTGGCGTGACCTTTGTTGGCATTGCGGATGGTGATAATTTTGCCTTGTGTGCTATCGTGAGGAACAGAATAAATGTCATCCTCTTCTGTTATTCTAGGTTTGCTCACAGCATCCATAGGCTCTGCATAGTCCGAGGGGTCGTAGCCACCATCAGTACCAGGTGCCCAGGAGACGGCTTGGGGCAAAGAAGGTCGGTTGGTGCCTCCTTGCTGGTCCATGTAGGGGCCAAGATTGACCTTACGAATAGGCTTGGGCTTCACTTGCGGAGGAACCTTGTTGTTCAGCTTGCTCTCAAAAGCGCTAAGCTCAGAAATAACAGAGAATGTTTCACTTGAATCCAGATCTGGCAGCTTGAAGTTTCCCATAAGACCACCACTTTCCCTAATAGAAGGGTAAGGTGGTGATGGATCAATATCATCCTCCGAGTCCATAAGCATGTTGACGGGACTCGGGGAACCACAGCGTGGGCTGATGCTCTCATTGGTGCATGCCTCAGCCGCATTGTCATACATGTGAGTGGCCTCGACAACAGTGCGCTTCTCCAGGACTTCTTTAAAGAAAGATTGGAAAAGATCTATTTTATGAAGGCCCCCTACTACACCACCATGTCCACAAATTACTGTGTTAAATCTGGCATTTATTTCACTGGCCAGCTCCTCTCCCTGGCTGACTTGCTCCTTGGCTGAGTCAGAGTCTGTTAGCTCCATCTGACTCTCTGCTACTGCTAGCAACTGGATGGGAATGATGTCTTGGACCTCACAGAGGAAAGCACACATAGTCTCCATAGAGGCCCTGCGGCGAGCAGAGTAAACCGTAATGAAGCCATGGACCAGGCCAGTTTTGCGGAGGGAGAACGATGAATGAAATGAGAGCAGAGACAGCTCAACATTCTGTCGCTGACCTCCTATATTAAGATCCAGAATAACCGATGTTCCACTGTTTAGGCTGGATGCAGGACGACAATGATGGGGCAAAAGAAAGGGAGCTAGCAATTGGTCTAGATCATAGGTGTCTCCACACATCAGGCACACAACTATCCTGAGATCTGCTTCAAGCATTGGCTGGGACTGAGAGTCTCTGAAGGCAGATGATGGAGGAAGTAAAATAGGAGAGCCACTCCCATTGTTCCTCCGTGTTTCTAAGAGGTTCCTTAGCATCTGGTTAATCTGCTTCTCACTAATATTGCGACCATAACCCATGCCTGGAGAGGCAGGGTCTAGGTAGGCACACTGCAACTTTAGAGCCACCTGCTGCCCTTGATGTGTAAGCGTTTGTGCAGTTTCCCCTCCAATATCCCCTATTGTCCCCACACCCCTCTTTGTAACAAGAAGGAGGGACAACGGGAGTTGAGCTAAGCTACTTTCTCTTTCTCTTCTGCTTATAGTTGACTCTCTAAGCTTCTCTAAACTCTCAACAACATATGAAAGGGATTCCCGTGAATTGTACAAACACAAGCAGCCATGGGGTGTGAAAGTAGGTGTGTGAAATGAATTTACTGGTAGACGTACATTGCCTTCTATGGGACGAAGCGCTAACTCATACATTTTGCAGTCTAGCACGTACCGATCATCACTGGAGCACAATGCTCTTATCTCATTTGCCATGTCTCTGGCTAGTCCATTCTTTCCAAGAATAACGAGATTTATGCGTTCAGCCCGCCCCCCCTCGGGCCTTGAACTGTCTGATGATGGGTATCGGGTGGGGAATCTGGAGGCCAGTATCTGTTCTATCTTACTGTCCACACAATGGGGGTTGTTGGGACAAGTGTCTTTTGTCGGATGGTAAACAAAATGGATATGTTTCAGTATTAGAGCATCTCTTTCTGCTTGCAGCTTTTGTAGAGCTTTAAATCTCTGTTCCTCGCCCAACACTTCCTGGATGGCTGCCATTTTCTCTTTACTTGGTTTTGCATCTACTTCTAGCTCATAAAAAAGCTCAGAGTATTCCAGAAGCAACTCCTGAAAGTCTTCTTTTGCCCGGTCTATGATTTCCTTCTGGTGTTTGTTGTAGATATCCAAATATTCTGCTTCATCTAGCCATTGGTAGAAGTCTTCATTCCTGATCGAAGTTCGGGCCTCCTCCCATGGTTTCCCTGGTGTGATGTCAGGAGATACACTTAGCATTTCCTTGAACTCCCACCTCATCTCAGCCCGTTTGCGCTCAGTTCGTAGCTGCTCTAGATGAGTTTCATAAATATTTTGAGCTGCTGGGGTCTCCAGGAGATCTTGGGGAATTCGATCATCCTCCATATTGTCGATGTGGGGTGTGGTCTCCCAAGGAGTATCATCTAGCACTATAAACCAGTGAGAGAAATCTCTCTTTGCCTCCAGGACTTTCTGAACTCCAGACCAGCTTACATGGTCTATTTCATTCAAATCTGGCAGAAGTACAGCTAGGGCTTGCGGTAGAGTACTTAAATAGGCCTTCCTGCGTTTTTCTATATGTTCTTGTTTAAGTCTGTGTACATGCTGCTGGAAGAGCTTCTTGGCTTTAGCTGTTCCCTCAAAAAATACATAGTCTTTGTACTCGGAGTCTGTTTTCATGATACGATTGACAAATGGCCAAGTGTCATTATGATTCTTCACAATTTTGTTGACCAGCCATTCATAGCGATCTTTGGCTGAAGCAATCTGTTGACTCTGCTGTTTCAGTGCCTCGTAGTAAGGGATGATCTTGGGTTTTCCCCTGCTCTTGTCAATGAGCTGAACCAGTGTGAGAAATGCCAGGTCAACGTTGACATTTGAACGTGCTGATGTTTCTACCACCTGTAGGTTCTTCTTGGCAAGAGCAAAAGCATGACAGTCTTTGATATAGCGCTCAACTCCTTCATCGCATTTAGTGAGAACAATTACCACAGGCTTCTTCGTTTTGGCTACCTGGTTATACAGGTTGGAAATAAACTTCATCTGATCCTCAAAGCTACGGTTCATACCCCTGCTAACATCAACACTAAGTAAGAAGCCATCCACCACAAGCTTTCCTTCAGGCATTTGTTTTTGCTCAAAGTCCTGCTCCAGTCCCAGCTGATCTGTGCAAAAGTACATCAGCTTTTCAGCTGATGCCAGTTTGCTGGAAGCTGCCCTCTTTATGTAAGGCTGAAGTGCCGTGCTACGGTGTGGCTGGAACGTCTGATCATCAATAAACTCTGTCTGCTCCACCACATTCATGCGGCATTCAGACCCCTCCTCCATTGTCCTTACTGCCTCTCCCCAGTACAGGAAGTGATCATTGTTTACTACACGGCCTCCAAAGTCACTGGTGCTTAAAACAGAGGTGTGATCCAGGTAAAAGTCATCAGCACTTGGCCGAACAAAGCGGTTACACAGGCAGGACTTGCCCACACCACATTGGCCTTTCTCCTTCTCTGTCCCGGACAACCCAACCACAACCAGGTTATAGACAGGTGCCCGGGCATCTTGTTTTTTGGCCATCATTATCGCTGGCAGAGGCTCATCCTGCCATGCTGGCTTCTTGCTCTAGGGAGAAGAGGAGATGGCAGGGAAGCAGGGTTTCCATGCAAGAGGAGCTCACAGGGCTGGGGTTCAGTCCTGCATGAAAAAGAGGAAAATACAACAAATTATTAAACCAATTAAATACCAAAAAAGTTATCTCAAGAACAGAAGCAATCATTTGTTTAATATTGTTCTTTGCAACTAAATTCCTGAGCCCATGTTCTGTTAATAACGTTTAATCTGTGATCCTATTTAACCAGAAAATATTTCCTGAAAAGATTGAGGTCAAAGGCAAAGCTCTTGGAAAATTACACAATACTTTAACCAGGCTGTAGCTCAAACACTTTTTTTCAGTTTAACTTATTTAATTATAACTAAGCTATAATGCAAACAGTGATGCTTTACATGTTTCATGCTTTTATGTTCTCTGAGACTCCATATGTGTTTTGCCTTATTATGTGACATCCAACAGTGTGGGTGGTTGTCTCAGTGCCAGCAAAATTAGAATAAAGTCATGCATGGTTATTGCTACGGCAGCGAACACACATGAATGTACATAAGAGCATCACCACACACTTACAGAAAGAGGCAAACTGAGCTCTGTGCAACCTAAATGAAAGTCACACACAAGAAGATGAAAGCAGATAAATGTTCCAAAGCTAAAGTTACTAATTGGCCAACTAGGGAGAGCCATCTGCATTTAAAAAGACTGCATTGCCTGTTGGCTTACTCGTCTCCATCAAAAACACGTTTCCCCATGCTTTTCACCCAACAAGTCAGAGCTGGATAACATCCCATCACTCACATCTCAATGTATTTAACCTAATTTGACAAAAAAATTGGTTTAAATGCGAGAAAGAAAAAAAGCACATGCACTCTGTGATGTAAACAAAGGCTTTATTAAATGACCAATCTCAAAGCAATTTATTTGAGTTGGTAGATCAAATATAAAAACAGGCATCACACAGATGATGGGAGTGCTCTTAATGGATCACCCCCTCACTGATAGCACAATTTATAAGGAATTAAATTTTTCTTAAGCTGCAAGACAGCCAGCACACTTAAGACTGGAGCATAAAACCTCTCCATGTCACAACTGATGCAATAATGAAGTGAAACCGACATTAAAATCACCTTTAATTGTGAATAGCTCCTCTAACACAGAGCACGTAGTAGACAAAGCCTTTTTTTTTTTTTTTTTTACCAAGACATTGTTTGTCAAACATCTGAGAACTGTGAATTTTCTAAGATGAACTTCAAAGTCCAACACAGCTACACCGGAATGGAGGAACATTAACAACGGAAATGTAGGACAAGACACAAACTTGCCTCATTTGAAGTCACAGGAGATAAAACAACCATATCTGTAATGTACAGACTCCTCTACTCTCTGTGTGGTGTACTCTCGAGTCTTATTTGAGAAGCTGCTAATTAAAGTTGAAAACTGAGAATCATAGCAAAGCACTAAACTCCTACTTTTCATGGGAACAATATCCAGTAATGGTGCGAGTCAACATCAGAGAACCAAAAGCCATAAGTTAACTTAAAATTTCAGATCTTTTGAAGTGAAGATCTGTGCAAAGGTTATGAACAATTATCTCAAATGTTGTAGATAGCTCTTTGAACAACCCCAAGTTTTGAAAAATAAATTTAAATTCTGACCAGATAAATAAGCAAACAAACTGTCAAGAGTAGAAAAAAACAAAACAGTTACTGTCATTTTAAAATAAAACTCCTTAGTGGCCCATTGAAATACCATTTTATAAACTACTTTATTGTCAGTTTCATCAGAAATGGTTAATTACGTATACAGAAGTATATTATTAAGAGAAATAGGTGCAGCCTAAATCGTTTCTGTCCGTGTAATACAAATCCAAGAGTGGTGTACAAGTTTATAAAACAGTTTTTGCATTTTTTTTTACTTGTTTTATGTTGACAGCATTTCACTTTTGAATTGGGCCTGCTCAGACCAGCTATTAGCTTTTCAAACAGTCAGAGCCTGCCAGCATTTCTCCAAACTGATGCTGTTCAAAGAGCTACCTACAACAAGTAGGACACTAATCATTTACAACAGTTAAACACCCTACCCCTCTTTATTATATTTAAAAGCACACCGGTATCCTGACCCAGGGAGTAAAGTAGAGTACAAAGTTAATGGCCTCAGGAATTTTATCCACCAAAAACACACGCCCTGGCATGTCTGAATCTGGTCTAATATTTAACAGAACATGCATTCAGCTTATTAATCATTGTTCTTTAATACCCTGAGTCAACACAGTTCCCGTTTGTGGTCCTTATGGAAATGTTTCATAAATATGAAAAGGAGAAGTGAAATATTCTAATACAGTACAATTATATCATTTTGACAGTACTTTATATACATTTTTGCCTGATGGACAGACATTTACTGGTACTCCATTCTAAATTTCACCAATTTGATTTTAGAGTCAACCAACAACGGTGATCCCCCATGATGGCAAAAAGTCAGAATGAGCAGAAACTGCTCTGCAGAAAACACTAAAATATTTGTTTCTGCCATATGTTAGATGCAAAATAGTTCTATACACACATCTACCAATGCCAAGAGCTAAAATAGCATTACATCTTCCTAATCTAAACCTACCTTTAAATCAAAGGTTTCTAAAAGGTATGTCTTCAGAAATACTTCTTTTAATACTAATCCTCTAAATTTCCTTGGTAATGGACTATTTTTCCCTGTCGGATGCTTTGGCACCAGGACATTTTTTTGTATGTTTGGCATCATTCTGAAGCTTGGGGCTTCCCCAGTTTAAATATATTTCTGGAATCCCCAATGACATCACTCCAGACCAACAAAAATTGTGTTTTCACATTGGATATTTCATAAACAAAACTAGAAGCAAAAAGGTTGCGGGATCGAATCCCGGACCTTTCTGGGTGGAGTTTGCATGTTCTCTCCTTGCATGTTTATGTTTTCTCCAGGTACTCCGGTTTCCTCCCACAGACCAAAAACATGCATGTTAAGACTGATTGGTAACTCTAAATTGTCCCTAGGTGTGAATGAGAGTGAATGATTGTCTTGTTTGTCTCTATGTGTCCGTGATGGACTGGAGACTTGTCCAGGGTGTCCTCCACTTCTCGCACAGTGAGTGCTAGACATGACCACCAGTCATCACCGCAACCCAGAAAGAATTGAGTAAAGACAATGGAAGATGGATGGATAAACAAAACTAACTTATTGCTAACTAGGTGATAAATCAACAAATTTCAGTGTCAAATTGAAGCTTTTGAGATTCAAAATTTAAAATAACTCAATATTGAAAAAAATCCTCACTGTGACGAAATTTGCCAGCACAGGTCACATTTACAGTAAAATTCTGATATTGCAAGTATTGCTTTCACATACAGTATATCTTAGCTGTTAAAGTATATGTTGCTTAACAGATAAGAACGGGAACCCTAACACTGAATTTCAATAGGAACAAAGTGTGCCATGATCTTGCACATACAAAATGTCTGCACACACCCAAATAATTCCCATGTAATCACCGTCCCGGTGAAGAATTTGTCGTGTGTAAATTAGGTCATGTCTGAGGGTGTTTGGATTAAAACACAGTCCAAAAGCTGAGCAGGTTTAACATTTCTGATCCCACCATTATTTTATGCTTCTCAATAAGAACAGTCAGTGTACAGTACCTCCATGTTAACTCATTTTGGGACTGTTGGTTAACACAATACCTTTAAAGTTTTAGGTTCCTCGTGTGACAAAGAGCTCAAAAGGAATGCAAAATAGAGATGAGATTTTTTTTTTCCCCTGCAGTCCAAGAAGCATGCCGAGGCAAGTTCCAAGGAAGCGACTTTCAGGACAGAATTCAATCGAATGTGATGCGAAGATGCAATGGCTTAAATAAGCCAGCAGCTAATAATAAAATAATATGAAATGCATAGCTAAATGAGAAACTCAATTTGAAATGAGTGAAACGTAGACAAGACATGACACATTTTAGCCTAACCACTGAAATGTTGTTGAAAGCTGCTTAAAGGAGCAATTCCTTTTGGGAAAACATTTTTTTTTAACAAAGATAACGTGGCTTTTTGTAAACGGTCCAGTTGCGAAGCAATCAGACAGTCTCTCAGTTCACCCTGAAGGGTGGTGTCTGCTGCGCATGTGCATCCACATACCAGCGTCTTTAGGCTGTGGGTAGTAGTGATGCAGCAAAGATACGTTAAAGCCATGAAACATAGCGGTAAGTGCAAAGAGGAGGAGGAAGGGGTGCAGGAAGGAGTGGAAGACACTGGTGAAGGCAATAGAGAACGGGAGGCTGGGGCATGTGGAGAAGATGAAGCTGTAGAAAAAAATGGAAATGGAGGAAGGGGAGCGAGGTCAGCGGTCTGGGTCACGCGAGTTGCACATTGGAATTCCCTGAGGGAAGACGGGCAGGGCGTGGCGAGGCATGGATTAGTTAAGGGTCTGACCCAACATCGAACTCACCCCCTGCATAATCGTAAACAACATTACAACCCATAAGCCCACGTTTCACTGCAATCTGTTCTCCTAGAGGACCTTAATGTTCTGGTTTAAAAGTTAAAACAGTCGATCACAGAAGCCATTTCTAGGTCACTGGCTTTCACAAGGACAAGAAAAGCCAAGGAAGATGGGAATCATCTGTGGGGTGTTTGAGAGCAGCCTGCAGCTAATGCTTGGGCGGCAGGGCGTGAAGTTCATCATTACACAAGTTACAAAGGGCAGCAGGGAAGAGGCTGTTTTCACTGCCTATGAGGGAAAAACATGTAGTCTTCGTGGGGGGGGGGGCTGCATTCCTTTTAATCACAAGAGTCAGTGAAGGAGCTTTGCACTTAAGTTTGAAATCACTGATGGCCAAGTCTTGAAACTTATGATGCAAGAATATAAGAAAAATCCAAGTCAAGAAAAGTAATTTAGAGGAATAAAAAAAATTTAAGTGAAACAGTTATGCATACAAGTCTGCATATAAAGGAATGAATAGACCAATAAGCCTTTCATGCTTAAGTTTTAAACTAGCATCTTATTAAAAAAATTAATAAAATACACAAATACGCCAAAATACATTTAACGGTAGGCCTTTTTGGTCAAATCT